ATCTGCAAAGTGACCAATCATGACACGATATTCAATTTGTGTGATCGACCAATCACGAGAAAGTTATCCTATATGCTTCAGCATCAGCCAACTTCAGCATCAGCCGTGACAATAATTATGATGATAATGGTGGTGGCGATTATAATAATTGTGAAGAGAATAGTGCTAATAATAATAATGATGATGATGATGATAATATTGCCAGTAGTTCTATTCAAAGAGAAGCACCTAAATTACCCCGGCAATGTAATCCTCGGAATAAAGAGAGGATTAATTATAATATAGAATCACTATCAAAAAAATCCGTAAGTATAAATAGTATTAACAATAATAGCAATAATAGTTATATTAATAGATTTTACTTTATCTATAGACTTTACCATTACCATCCTCCTCAGGTATTCAAAAAAGCAGAAAAAGAAGAAGAGTCTGCTCAAGAAGTTGTCCTATACATTGCAAAAAGCCAAAAAATAAATAATAGATAGTTTTTTGTATATGTCAGGGACATTAGCTCCGCTATTTCAATACATGTATCTGGCACCTAAATGCCTATATATTTTATTATAAAAATAAAGCAAATATACGTATATTTTTCCTGGAATTTGATTTTATTTTTATTTTTTATCGTATCAATAAAACTGGCCCTCGTGGCCGATTTCGCATATATAATCGTGTTTACTTTTTGCATATGTATTTCGGGATTTTATTACGTTGAGGGATATACTGTATATGATCGATATTTTTTACCTAAATTTTTCTTGGCAAAGTGATCAGCGTTCCGAAACAGAACGCGCACATAATTTTTATTAATTCGAAATCTTGAATAAATATGTATCTTATATAAAAATTATTATCAAACATGTCATCGGAGCTTGAATTATTGAGACGAGTTGCCAAACTTGAGGCAGAAAATACCAAATTAAAACAGATCATAGAAGAAATTGCTAATCTTAGGATCGAAAATACAAAACTAAAACCAATTATAAAGCAAAATCGAACTACTAATGATGCTTCACAAACGCCTATTCCACCATCTATTAATAGTCACTCTGAGAATGATAGCACCGACTCTTTAAATCTAGTGCAGACACAAAGTGCTATTTCTCCCGAAATAAACTCTAACAATACTCCCAAACAGGTAGAAAACACATCTGATAATGCATCTAATTCTGATATATACCAGGAGCCGGTGAATCAATGCTCCACATCATCTATCTACACTAAACCTAAATCGTTAGAAGATAAGGTGGTTGATGATTTTCTGGACTCGAAGAGCAAGGAGATGGTTAGTAATATGATGAGAGAAAGAAACAAAGAAAAGAAACTTCAAGATCAAGAATCGATACAAGAAACATCTTTCTCTTCAGCTGAATTGGGGCAAATGTCTATTGATCGAGCACAAAATGCTATTTCTCCTGAAATAAAAATTCCTTATGATCAGAAAGTAGAACAAGGCCTAATACATGAGCTATCTGTTTGTACTAAGGAAAATATTTTCATACAAGAATAGACGTGCAAATTCCTGATCTTCCTCTGGAAAAAATATTAACAGGATCTGATGAGTTACGACTCAAATTATAGTAGACTTGTTTAATACAGCGATGAAAACTAGACAAAAGGAGAATTTATGCTGGTATTGTTACACTAAAGCATATGAAAATCGAGTTATGGATATTAAATCCACAAATAACATCGATGACCAATTAGCGAGAACATTGGTATATAACGAAATTAGGATGTAAACTTGCGTAAAAGAACTTTCAAAGCTAAAAAAATCTATACATTGTTTGAAGGAATAGGAATAGATAAAATTAGGCAAATCACTTAGTGCGAATGCTATTTCAAGTTTAAAAGATGATCAGATTCAAAACATTATAAATCGTTTCCCTCAAAAGTCTACTAAGATGGACGATATAGTTAAATGCCAAAAAGTGATAGGCGTTCCGAAAAAGAACGCGCATGTGACTGAACCATCCAGCTCAAACGATTTGACAGTGCAGAAAAAATTACCAGAAATTCTTATCAAAAATGAATCCGATATAGATACTCTTATTCTTCTTTTACAGCAAAAGTTGAAAATGTCGAAAGAGAGGTTAGAACAATGGAGACCAATATTGCCTTTGAATTACGGGATAACAATAATTATTGGACAAAAGAATGTGAGAGTATGAGTGAGGCTGATTTTTTAGAACACAAGTAAAAATTCGAGGCAAAAATGGGCGTTCCTACTACTCCGCACAAAGAAGAATTAAAAGTGCGTTCTTTAGCCCTTATTGAATATGGATAGCTTTACCGAAAGCAATCACAAAGTGGCTAGAGGAAAAACCTCATTGAGTAATAATAGCACATCATACCAGTACCCTCTACTTATTTCTTAAAAATCATGTTAAATAAAAAATAACGAGGTCATGGGACCCCTCTTTATTTCATAAAAATTGTTGCCAGAACGACAACATACAATTAAAAAATTTTTATCATAATAAAAAATATATAAATATATATCGCTTTACATGGTACGAATAAAAAAGAAAATAAATAAAAATTAATTATTTACTAAAAAAACTCTTGAAGACCTCGAAAAGCCCCTTGCTCTTTTTTTTGTTTTAGCTTAAAAATTTGCTTACCATCCACAGATAAATCATAGTTATTTATCCAAGTTACAAGATAGCTTTCTCTATCCTTGACACGTACAGGTTCTATTTTTTCTTCAGTCGTCACATTCATAAAAACTGCCTTCGTTGACTCATCCGGATTATCATTTTTATATACAAGAAAAACCATCGCGATATCACTATTTATTCCTTCAATCATTACTTGGATGTTCTCGTGACTAATATCAAAGACTTTTGTTTCTCCTTTCGCATATGAAAAAACGTATTCGGACATCACGACTGTTAAGAAAAACAAGACTGTTGATACATGAACTTGTAAGTATTTTTTGACTCAGCCTGGTAAAGGAAATTGTGTATACCTTGGAAATAAATTGCGAGTATGCTAAACAGTTTCTTTTGGCAGAGCCGGTTTACACAAAAAAAATATATATTAGCAAAAAAAACATTGTTGGTACCCACCTTAAAAGCCATAATTGCTTATTTTTTATATCTTTCATTATCTAGATCTAAGAACTGGCCAGAAAAAAATACATGATTAGTAATTACGTTACCCAACTCAATGTCAAATTTTTTCTCTGTATATCAACTCTGCTCGGTCATAGGTTCCAAACACTGAACGTATTTTGTCGTTTTTTAGGTGAAATTAAACCCCTTATAATCGACGATCGCTTAAGGTAGGTTTAGATCTGACGATCTCGGGAGGCGGAGATTCCGAGTTCATACAACATATGAATTTTGATAAAACTACTGATTAAGAACATTATACGTATTACCCTTATAGCCTTTTTAAGTCCCATTCTTATCGTGGGATCATATACAATAAGAAAAGGGCCTAGTTATTGTAAGATTGTTAACGTTACCGTTGGGAAAGTAATTATGCATTAAGGTAACACCGCAAAAACAAAAACAATTACAAATAGGGGCCCAAAATGAAAATAATTACAGATAGAGGCCCGATATTTGAAAATTATTACAGATAAGGGCC